GTAACCTTAATTACCATTGAGATGTGTTGAAGAGCAAACTATTGAACGAGATAGTATGGCATGAAAATCTCATGGATTTTGCTGGAGTAGGGGAAGAGCAGAGGATTTCTAACCCAGGTATATGGAGTACAAAATCTGCCTGAGCACTGCTAATGTCCAGTGTGATTTTCTGATGTATTGTCTGCTTTCTCTTCAGGTGTATTGAGCTGGTTTAAGCCACCACTTGAGGTTGTGCCATTTCCTGCTGCACTGTCCAAGAACAGTGTAACGTTTCTGTCTCCCTTGCACTCTCTCATCCCTTCGGTTCACTGGAGGGTGACGGATGTGTTCCTGCTGGACAGGCTGTTGGGGATATGTGCCTCAGGGCTCTGTCATTGTGTAGGTGCAGACAGGGATGGGATGATTTGACCCACCATAATGCTGTCTCTCAGTGTGTTGTGACACTTCCCCTGTGTACTGGGCAGGGAACACCAGTACCCCATTGGTGCTTGGCTCAGAGGGAATCCCTAGGCATTGGGAGAGATCCCTACCTCTCTGGTGGGCCTGGGGACCCTTGGCTGGGTCTTGTTGATAGCAGCAACACAATAGCCAAGCCCAGGTGATGTCCCATCTCAGTGTGCCAGGCCCCCTTCCCTGGAACAGTTTTCCTGAACGCCATAAGCCAACAACTCTCACAGACTTCTGTAAAACACCACAAATCTTGGCCTTTGTTCAAAACTCCATCTAACTCAATACCTGAATATCTTTGAAAAGTCTTGAAACCGAGAGCAGTATGCGTCAGCACTTCTCTTAGGACTTGTACAAAACAAGACAAACTCCTTTGTTCCTTAAATGCAAGGTGAAGAAATGAAACCCAAAGTTTGATTTATTTATCAGTGCATTAATACCTGTATTTTTTGGCTGATGCTACTGGCTACTGTATTTTGCACAGTGGCCAAGTGTGGAGCTTTCCCATTCTGAAGAGGCTGTAATCTGAATTTAAGACTCCTCCCATGGGATACCTGATAAAACCCCACAGCCCTGGCTCTGCTCCATCTCAGTTCTTGGCTCTGGGCTCTATGGGCTTTGCTCCTGGGCCTCTGCCCCCCTGCTCCCCCCGGCACAGGGAGGGGGGAATAAAATGGACTCCTCTGCTTAACAACAGAGACTTGTCTCTCTGTTTTTCCTGCTGTCATTGTGGCCTCTCTGGATCATGATCCTCACTGTAGGCACGTGCTGCTACAGCCAAGATAGAAACAAAATCAGCATCTCGCCTGATTTCTTTGTATTTTTACTTGGGTTTACAAAAGACTATGACATCAAAAAAGCAGACCCAATGGCTGCAATCAGTTTTCCTTGAATGTCACATTGACCTTACTGCTAAGGATAATATTGAATCCTGTGAAGTTTTGGTCAAAATTTGGCAAAGATTGCACTGATCAGTCTTTTCTACATATAGGTCTCCATTGTTGTAATTGGAGGAATAGAGAATGTTGTCTTCACTTTTAATAATTTGTCTGTGGGAAAAGTACTTTTTCTGTGAGTTCAGACTTTTTACTTTATTGGTAATAAAAATGCAATTTTTGCTTACTGATGCTGTCTGTGCAATATATTTTTCCAGTGCTTCTGCCATCCTGGTCTGAATACTCCGGGGAAATTGTGACATACTTGTTCAAAAGCATGTAGGACTTGGAAATCTGTTTTCTGTTTTGTTATGTTTTGGTTCTGGGTTTCCTTTTTTTAATAAATATATGCTGAAGGTAGGCTGCAAACCAAATCTCTGTTCTAACCAGTTACAAAGCAGAAGATTCTCTGCTTTGTCAAAGCCTCCTCATCAAATGTCTATCTGAGATTTTTGGTCAACTCTAATCCAGACACCTTTGATGCAGGGGTCAAAAACCTGCATTGTGGTATTACTATGCCATTTAAAATATTAGAGCATAATTTTCAAGGTAACCTCGATGTATATAATTTCTTATTTCTTATTGTCCCCTTGGCATCTAGTTATGCAGGTAAGTATCTAATTTGTCTTAGTTTGGGTCCAAATTGTTTGCTTCCTGGGTTGTTTTCCTTTTGCTTTCCTCCCAGGGGTTCATTGCTGCATTTCCTACAGAAGCAGAAGACTGGAAAATCCTCTAATCCAGAAAAGCTGTGTTCTTTTTTCTTGTTGAAGTAGACTTCAACACAATGAGCTTTTGGGCCACTTTCCAACAACATGAAAGAAAATTTCTACTTTCATATAGTCTTCTGTTTACCCTCTGGCTACTTTCCTCCCTCACTTCTCCCCTGGAAAGCTGGGTTAAATTGTGTTCCAATACTTTTGAGTGAATTTCCAAATCACAAAAGTATATATTCTTGCTGAAAGAATCTATTTTTTAATTTTAAATCCTTTGCTTGGCATTGCTGGATTACCATATGGAACAAGTTCTAATAACCAGCCAAGCTATAAATAAATTCAGCAAGAACATTAAGAGCAAAAAACAAAGAAATCCCTAATCTTCCAAACAGCCTGTCAGGCACCACTTCCATTTCACTTGGGAAAAGAAGAGTAGCTAGGAAGAACAAATGTAACAAACATCTGCAATTGAAAGCACAGCTTTCAAAGTAACATATGTGAGATGGACTCTAAGAGGTGTTTCCCCACCACGTCTCTGAAATGGTGTCCTGTGTCTCTGACCTTGGGCTGTCCCACTGTTCATAGAAGGGCTTGTACCAGAGTTTCAGCAGCACTTTGAAAATCCAGATATTTGTTGGTTGGCCTTGCTTGTGTTTTCTGTGCACTGACCATGACTCCTCATTTTGTGTATCAGTCACTAATTGCAGAGGCTCCAGAAAGCCACATCATATCACACCTAAGCAATGCATAGGTGAATTGCATATGGTGACAAATTTTCCAGTGATGGTCCAAGTCTTGGGAATGTGGGGTTCTTATGCTGATACACACAAACATTTGTTTATATTTAACTACCTCTCTGGAGCCCAAGAGTAAATGATATTCCAGTGACTAGTCTGTGCTACCTGTGCATAATATGCAAGTATTCTTTTCAAAGATAGCAGAATTAGAGCTGGAAATCCACCTTTGATTTAGAATCAAAACTTTTCAGATTTCTGCTACATCTTGACCCAATTCTAGTTCCATTGTTTGAAGGTCTGCGTGAGCTGGCTCTATCTGTGCTGCAGCAGTAACTTGCTGAAAGGTTTTTCTTGTGCTCTTTGAGTGGAAAGCAAGGATTATTCTGAATTTTCAGAGAATCTGTATGTGTGAGGTTTCATGGCAGCGTTACACGATCCTAAACCAGCTCTGAATAATCACAGCTATGAGGCAGCTAAAAACCTGTTTGTGATTAGTAGTGGTAGATAAGTTGCAGGGTCAGAATTACCTGCTCTTTAGTGAGTCTGCTGCCAGTGATTCTGTGGAAATGGTGAAGACTGCCAAAAAATAACGCATGAATGAACAGTTCAGAGGCCCAGCAGTTCACAGCAAACATCGCTTTCTGTCCAGACGGCAGCAAGTTTAAAATAGCCAGTTCCCTTTTCCACACATCATGGCACAATTCCAGAGGTTTTCAGGACTCTGGTGCTTCCAACAGGGTTTTTGTTAGAGTAAGTGTTTGTCATTTTCATAGTCTCTGGAAAAATATCTGTATTGCTGAAAAGAAATTCAGCTGAAAGCAGGGCCTTGTGCTTTCTTCCCCCCACTAGAGGCTAATACAAAGCAGCTGCTGCTGCATCTTCCTCTGAGCAGCCTCAGCACAACACCCTTGGAAATAAGAATGACTCATCTTGATGGGGGTCTTCCTGTTGGGATATTGGAAATAACCACAGTTACTGCAGGGGACTTAAAGTACAGTAATTTGGATGATGGAACTTGAGGCGATGCTGGGCGAGGAAAGGCTGCAATCACAAAGCTGTCAGAGGCAGCAGAAAGGCCCTGGGGGAAAAGGCAGCAGAGTAATAAGATATGTCCAGAATTTTTTTGCCGTTAACTTAAAATATTGTGGAAATAAAATATTGGCTCTCAGTTAAATCACGCAGAGGCTTGGAAAAGGGCTTTGAGAAGCACACAGGCATCGTGCAGGATTGCTGCAACAACTATGCCAAATACTGCAGCTAAGTAAAGGTCTTGGACAGCCCTACAGCAGTGAGCGCCCTGCAAAGCTCTCTTTACCTGGTGTGTACAAAAACCGTGTGCTTTGGGTGTGCTTGAGAGCCAGGTAAATAACAGGACTGCTCTAGACAGTCAGCCTTAACTTCTTGCATTAAACCATCATCTTTTCCCTTCCTTTGCCTTGTCCCTATTGAGACAGAAGTGAATCCTTATGAATTTTTTAATGGAAATATATTCATATATACCATGTAGCACATGAGAGGCAGATCTGTGCTCATGTTATGGTCTCTGATTTATGGTTGAGGGCATTTATTCAGTCCATTTAAAGCTGCTACTGAGTATTTAGGACTATACATATACATTTTGCTGTTTGGTTTTTTTTTTAATTTTTTTTTTGTTTAAGTTTTTTTTTTTTCCCTTACACAGAAAGCTGTTGGTAGTTGGGGGATGCTAAGACTACAAAGAAATATTTTTGAAGAGTACAGACCATTACATGAGCTCTCCTCTGCTTATCTTGATGCCTTGTCCTGCTGGATTGTCTTTCTTTCAATTTTTGCAGCAATTCCTGTTCTCCAGTTGCCTCTCTGCTCCTCTGTGAGGACTCTGAGCTGCAGAACCATGCCTGGTGATAGAGCATGTGTGACAGCACACAGGGCTGGAGACTATTGGGCATCACCAGAAGAAGCTCTCAAACTTGGTTTTGTGGTGAAAATCTTTGCAGAAGATTCAAATATTCAACTGTTTGGTAACTTTCCAGGATAGAAACACAACATTTTCCCAAGGTGGAAACAAAATCCTGGAATTCTTTTTGGCTTCTGTATGTTGATCCATAAAAGAATTCACACCCTGGGAAAATGTTTTCTGTGTACATCATAAAAGCACACTCCTGAATCATGGCACTAGACCTATGGAATGAAGAGAATAGGTGGAATATTGTTGTGTGAAATCAAATTAGACTTTAAAAATAATCGTGGTCTATGACTGCTGCTCTCGGTGATGGGCTAGAAGAAACCTGTGTCAGATGTGTGTCGGGAGGTGCTGCTGTTTCCCAGCAGGATGCCTCTGTTCAGGCTGTTGTTCTGTCTCCTTGTCAGGCGATGCTTTGAAGAGTTGACCAGTGTCAAGGGGTGACGAAATCTGCAAGTGAAGAGAAAATGTTTAAGTTTCAAAGCATATAAAATGAATGTACAAGATTCTAAAACAAACTTATGCTGTAACACAAGGACCTTGTCTGTCTGGGGGCAAGAGCAGTTTTGGGATACAGTAAGAGTCACAAAAATCAAACTGAATTTCCAGTGTGCTGTACACCAAGAATCAAGTGCTGCTTGTGCTGTTAATATATGCTCAACATAATGAGTATTACTACTATAATTAGTAATTTTCATTATAATTAATGTAGTTACAGTGTAAGTCTACTGAAAAAAAAGTTAAATAATTAAAAGGGATGACACAAACCTTGTACCGCAACAAAACCTAGTACAATGTAATTTGTCCTATCCACAACAGAAATAATCAAGTCAGCCAACAAGTGCAGTTACATGCTCAAAAAGTTAAATACTGCCCTTTAACTGTGCTTGTATACCAAACAGAGAATGAGTGAGGAAACTCAGATATCACTCATAAAGTCTGACAACTTTGCAAGTAAAAGATATAAGTGATGCTTCATTGTCAAACCATAGTTTCTTTAGATAAGACTTTATGTCATTTTTAGCTCACGTAAATACATGAGGATACACGTCTCACTCAAAGAACTGTTTGGTTTCTGTCTAAAAATGGGGTTATTGCTCTTAAATCTGTAAATGATCCTGCATCATATTGCTATTAAATAAAAATGGCACGCTACCACGCAAGCTGTATGCTTATAATGTGGAACTGTCTTGTTTCTTAAATACTTCATAGTTTCTTCCATTTGAAATCTACCTTAACATAATTTATCTTTTGGGTATTCAGCATTATCTTGCAGCGTGGAATTAAAATTTAAATTAATCATAAATTCTGAGGAGAAAACGTTTGTAGCAATGCATTTCAAATGTCTGTATTGATTGTTGGTCTGAATTCTTCTAATGGAGAAATCTTTGAGTGTTTGTATAACACAAGTTTGCTTTCTCTCCGGCATAATTAATTTTATGGTATGATGTAAAAGGTGCATTTCCTTTAGTGTACTCAGAAATAATACACTTTTAAGCTTTTGCATGCTAACATTTTTCATTGCTGAAACTTAAAAAAGCTGCTGAGAAAGACCAAAAGAACACCTAAAACTTCAAGTTTAAATGTACCACAAAGTAAATTAAATTTATAATGTCCCATCCCAGTTCAAAGGAAAAAAATTAATTTAACTTGCTTTAGAGCAATATTGAGAATTTCTTGTATTTTCAATCATCTTTTAAAATAAGAACATCTATGGTTGTTTTCTTCAAACAAGGAAAATGAGAAATAATGCTGTACTACAGGAAAAAGTATTACTTCTTTCAAATGTACATGCTTGGTAGGCTTATAAGAGGAAACTTTTCACATGTAAGATGAAAGTATTGGAAAAACCAAGTAGAGGACAACAGCAGCATTGTATCTGTGAGTTTCTTCCACATAATTCCCCAAGCACAACTTTCAAGGTCAGTAGCACATTGAGTAATTGATACTGGCAAATGAATGTCATTTCTGTGGCCACATCTTCCTGATTCTCTTAAACTATTGAATAGCAAGAGAACAGCACAAAAGAGGGGTTAAAATAACCATTTTTAATATAAAATACTAGTTTTTGCTATCTGAAGGAAGAAAAAATAAAAATGAGGATTTTTTTCAGCTAAAAAGGATTTCTTCTATTTTTACTGAAGCAATGTGCAGCAGAGGGCCTTCTTTAAAATCTCTTGAACTAAATCTTGAAATACTTTATCTCCAGCACTGTGGGCTCAACCTGCCCAATCACTTTGTCCTCACAATATAAATCAAAGAAATAAGTAAGGTGCATGGACCTCTTGGAACCCAAGTTGTGAGCACGACTTAAACACTATTCCCATTTTTGATCAGTATGAAACTGAACAGTTGTAAGTAGAAATAGTTTTTTATCTGGATTTGTGTGTTTTAAGTTGTTGGGTTTTTTTTCCCCAAATCCTAATGAAAATATGTACTCTATTTATGTTTACAGAGAAACAAAGGTCAGCTGCAGTAATAATTATTGGGTTCACGCATTATCTAGTATGTAGTTCCTAAGCAACACATTGCACATAACTATTGTTGCTTGGCAAAAGCAAATGAGAAATAGAAAAGTCTCCAAAATAACCAAGCTGCAACTGGTGCAGTACCCTGATATCCATTATTGTCATAATGCAACCACTGAAGTGTTCACTCTCCTTTTTCCAGACCTATATGAAATCATCCAGAAAAAAGGTGAGAAACTACTAATATGTTGAAATGACAAAAGGCTGCTAGTTTTAAACAAGGTGGAAAGTTATATAGAAAAGTGTAACTTTCCAGTAGAGATTCTTTAAATAAAATTAATTTGAAATTCTTAATACATGTAGGTTTGAAGCAAAGCAGTGCTAATGGTAGCATAAAGTACTTGGAAAGATTAATTTTGAATGAAGAAGTTTGACAAAATCTTTTCAATTTAACCACAAATACTCAGTGTTTTCATACCAAGCCTGATAGAAAGGGGAAGAAGAAAAAGGCAAAACCAGGACTTCTGAAATTTTCTGATGTGTTTTTTCAAGTCTATCCTCTCTCTTTGGAGGGGGTGGGATTCAATTTGGCAAACTTTACTACAGCCTGGAGGTGCCTACTTCTGAGCTATTCTAGGTTCCCTGTGTGATCTGTGGAGAAAAGTAGGCTCTTTTAAGGGGTGACTCATGTAATCTATTTCAAACACCTACTCTCAGAGAAGATGTCCATGTGTGTGCCAAGGGTGTCTGGCTCAGATGTGTATGTCTACACTTGGCCAGATGAATCTTACCCAGTATGCCTATGCTTTAGACTGCCAAGAAACAAGATAAATTTAGCTGTATAGAGCTCTGTGCTCTCACAGTGAAGTTTTTAAAAGCTAGCTCAGGTATTTCTGACTTCACTGTTGCCCAGAATCAAGACAAAAACTTTCCAAACAATATTAAGAGGGCTAAGATGAAAAGCAATTATTTAATGGAAGCTTTCAGATGCCCAAATATGGCTATGTGCACATAGCCATAGGATTTCATTTTCATCATTGCAATTTTAAAAAGGTCAGTTAATTACTATATCTATCAGGTACATCCAAGAAGAGATCAGTTGCCCCAGTAACCCACCCTTGTGTCTCCCCCTTGGAGCTGGTCCAAGGGATTCTTTGCCCTATATCTTGTTAAGTCTCTCAAATACTGGTGAAAACAAGATATCCTTGTCAAAAACTCTCTTCTTGAGAATAAGACTCAACAGAATTTCAAGAAGGTGTTAGAAAGGATTACCTTATTATTCTAAAATGTGGGAAAGTGCAGGAAAAGTACAAGAGACTATACAACTATATATTAAAAATTGACAAAGCCACAAATAAATGAAAAAGCTAGAAGTCTTTAGGCATCACCACAAGGTAGTCTCCTGTAAGACAGCATTCACTCAGATGTTTCAGGCTCTTGTTTTCCATGGCTGCCACCTCTGACCAATGGTACAAAGCCATTGTGCTGTCAGGGAACTTTGGAACCACCCCATACACAGTGTGGCACTAAGGAAACCAGGGATACCTGAATATATCTGTTGAGCAGATATCCTGTAGGTGTTAAGGTATGATGTCACTTTCTGTCCTGGTGAAACTGCTGCTGGGGTCTGAGTCCTCCTGTGGTGCTGAATGTTTTAAATGCCTCTGAAATCCTTCCAGCACAGTCAGAGGTCTGGACATGTTGCCTGTGAGAAGTGAAGAAGCACAATCTTTTTATTTTGACAAAGAGAAAGTTGGTGTGCTATTTTATCGTGGTTTAAGAGTTGCTACACAGTGACATTTTTTGATACAGGATGACAATTTAATCTAGTGAATGAAAGCATGATGCTACTCAATCTCTAAAACCAGATTATTTCAGGTGACAAAGAAGAGGACTTTTTACAGCAAGGCTAAGTAACTGCTGGAATAACTTTATCTAGGAGTTGTATAGGTTATTCTTTTCCTTGAAAATCCTTTTAAATCTAGATATGATACAGCACAATGAACTCTTACTGCTTTAATGAAGGAATTAAACAGTGAAATGTCGTCTGTGAAGTGAGACTCTAAAGATATCCCTTCTGGCCTAAAAAGCTCTTTAATGGGCCCAGTGCAGCATTGGACTCAACCTCTCACAGTCCTGCGAAATCTGCATTTCAAAAAGGGCTATGCAGCCTTTCCCATTTCCAATACAATTACTGTCAATCACTTGGTCCTATCTTCCTCACATTATGTTCCTTTAATAATGTTTTTGATCTGAAAATGTGCTCAGTGAACTCACTGTCTGTGAGCTGGACTTGTTATATAGAAAGGTAGATAAGGGAGCTGGAGACGCAGAACCTGCTGGAGCTGGTGGTCATGGCTGCAAGGTATGGCACAGGGCTTAACTCTGAGGTATTTTGCTTTGTTACCAATTCTCTGATTTTTTTTTTTTTTTACCTTTATGGACCAGAAAACCTTTAGTAACTCAAATATAAATCTATTTAATTTTGACAGAAGAAAATTAATACTTCTCTTTAACTCCAGTCAACAAACACAGATCCTTGTGTTAGCAATTTAGTTTGTCTTTGCTTCTCAGACTGGGAGGAATTTGAATTTGTGCTTTGCACCACTCTCTGGAGGATGCTGTGTTGATAGCTAAAATTATAGGATATGAGTCCTTGCCAAAACTATTGCATTAAATGTCCATCTCTCCCTGGCCCTTCCCCCCACCTCTTCAGTATTTTCAGTGCCAGTACTTATGTGAATTTGTCTCTCTTTCATTCTCTTTTTTGCTCAGACTTTATCGAGGCTGAATAAGATCTTTGCCACACTGAATTTCTCATCCCATCAGTTAAATGTGTTTATAGTTTGAAGAACTTTGGCTTAGGCAGAACTACAGTGTTTCTGTTAAAAACCACAGAATTACAATTCTATAATGTCTACTTTGTTTCACAGGTGTTCTCATATATAAAAGCATTTAAAATAAGATTTTATAGAAGAGAAAAACCTGTAGTAGTTAAGATTTAAGTTTTTTCACTGGTCCTAATGATTTATCTTTGACAGAATGGTAATATCAGTCATCCATCACTGATCTGCACAATTGAAGGGTTTTGAAAAAAGCCTCGTCTAGAAATCAGACCTTTTCCACGATGGCTTTCAGATGACACTGCATCATGTCTTCAGGAAAAGCTGCTGCTGCACGGGAGTGAAGGGGGCACTCTTCATCTTTTCTTCCTGGCCCACTTGCTTGGTGTGTTCCTGTTTGTCTTGGTCTAGTCCAGTCCATCACACATCCTGGCTCAGTTCACTTCCTCACTGCTTCTACTCCAGGGCAAGGAGGCGGATAGATTCCTAACTAAGGTACTTTTCTTACATTTCTGTTCCTAAGGGTCCTCTTTTTCCTTGCCAAAATGCCTTTTGATCTACCTCTCCCAGCCAAAACATTTGTGAAATGTGATGACCCCTCACAATGCTCTTACTCCTTGCTGTCGACTTTGAAACAGACAGTGGTGCTGATAAATTAAATCTGCCATGATATTGCAGGGGTATGAATAATGCTAGAACTTAGGCTTTGGAGTATTTTTTTTAGTAGAGAAGGACTTACGTTTCTACACTTCATGAGTGCAATATTGATAAATCATATAAAATAATATTGTGCAACTGAGAATAAAATTAGGAGATGTCATATGTTCCTTTTATAATAATGTGTAGGAATTTCATAGAGAAGATGAATGAAGTAAGAGAACAGAGTTAAGGTGTCCACTGTGATAAGAAAGCAGTGAAACTTCCCAGAGTCTGCAAACTCTCGAATTAAATATATACTGTGCATTTTACTCTGTACTAAAAGATAGTGTAATGGCTGCACATTAGCTTTGGAGAGTGATGCAAATTGCACCATTAATACCATCTTTGCATTTAGATTTGTAACTGCTTCTTGTTCTTTCAAAACATAACCACATTTTTACTCTTGCTTGCTGTATCAAACCAGCCTGAATTTGGGAGAGGAACTTAGCTTGTCTGTTTAGCTTGCAGATTATTAGCAAACATTGCTAGTAACATGGGAGACATCTACACTAAGCTTGATGTCTGAGGCTAAGTCTATCATCCTCCATTTGTAAGCAATGAGGTGAACAGACAACTCCAGAAGGTGATGCTTCTTATGATAAGTCAGCTCAGATAAGGAAGATTAATTGCTCTTTTCAGGTGTTTTTTTCAATTATCAGCTAGGAAAAAAAATAATAGCATAGGCTTAAATCTTTCTTTGTTTCTTTCTCTGTCTTTGTTGGGCACCTCAAGTAAAGAAGATAACTCCTCATTTTGTCCTGGATTAATAGAACAGCTTTTGGGTTGTGTTAATTTTTAACAGATAAGGTTAATTTGTATTATTGCAACTATTTGTGGTAATATGCTTGTTTTGCAAAACAAATTCAGGGAAGGGAAAGAAAAGGAGCAAAATGCTGAAGTGACCTAATGTAGTGTTTTCTGATTTGTTTGGCTATCCCTCAGAGGAGCAGTAGCAGCCCTTTACATACAGAAGAGGGTTCAGTGGGTCAGCAGAGACTGAGAGACTGAGAGTATCAGTGAAGAACTTGAAGGGCAGGTGTAATATAGAGCAGTGTACAGCTATTTAAAGAACAGGGATGGAGGTGACAGAGCCAAAGTCTTCCTGCTGGAGTCAAAACATATGGCAAGGGATAAATGGCTGCACTGAAGCTTGCAGGGCTCAGATGAGATGTGAGGAGAAGCCTTATCTCTGGGTGGGTGGTGCCCTCTTTGCCTGTCAGAATGTTCAAGACTGAGCAAGACAAAGCTGTGGCAGAGCTGAGCTGTTGCTGGCAGCACTCCTGCTTTGGGTAGGAAGCTGCTCTGGGTGACCACTGGAGGTGTCTTCCAGCCAGTATCCTTGTGACTTGCTTCTCTTTACTCTAAGGAAAGCGATCTCTTCCTATGGAGTTCAATCCTCAAAATCTGGAGCCTGACCACAGTGTCCTGTTCCCAGCCCTGCTGTGCTTCTCACCCCGTGAACTCCCGAGGCATCTGTGCAATATGTGGATGTGCTCTGGCTGTTCCCAGCTCATGGACCATTTCTAAAATGCTCCTAACAGCACTGTGTGATTCCACTTAGGACACTGCCCTGCAACACCTGTGTTCCAATCCCTGCTGTGATCACTACTAATGGAACACCTGGAATTAGATTTTCCATATGCTATGTGCGTGTGCTTTGCAGACTAGCCGATTGTTTTTTTCTGGAAAAACAAAACAAGACAAAACAAAAAAACCAAAAAACCAGAAACAAAAAGATCTTAGGGTCTCAGTTTCTAGATCTGAGGAGCTAGGTTATAGAATAGGGACAACTTATGTTTTCTTATCTCTAAATACAAATTGTGATTGTAGAACCTTAATTTCCTGTTGGACTTCTGAAACTGGGCAGTATCCCAGTTATAAAATGTGTGGCAAGTCTGATCACTTTAAAGCAGTAGCCACTTATAAACATGGAGAATCTTGGAGAAAAAAATAGGGAGAACACATATACATGGAACTGGAAAGTGACATTTTAGCATTGATTTTTCAGCATGAAAGGACATCTTAAAATCTTCCATTGTCATCTTGATATTTTCTTCTGTGTCATTATTCTCCACTTATTTTAGATGATATAAACAAATTCACTTCTTTTGAATATTATCACTTTAATCCCTCTTCACCTTGAGTTCGCTGCAGGAAATTATATTTTTTTTCTTATTGAAGAAAATGCAAAATGATCATAGTGTTTCAATAGTACAATCAGTGTATTTATTTAGTTAGTTATATTAGTGGTGTGGTCTTTTGATTTCCAGGCTAAAAATAGTACAATGTATGTTTTAAAATACCAGTTTGTTACACCTTGACATACTGAAGAACTTTACTGAAAGAACTCTTGAATCTTTTTTTTTAACAGTCCATCAACCTTGTAGACTGTTCTGGTTCTTTGCCTTCAGAGAAATTATTTTATATTTGGTCAATTTGAAACTGCATTTTGATTTTATTGATGTAGCCAGTGACTATACAACTTACAGACCCCTATCACTGTGCTGTGATATTGAACATGATGCTTTGTTTCCAGCAAATAAAGCCAGTAGAAATTTATGTACCTTTAAGGCAAATAGGAATCTTACATTGTGTGTGTGCACTTAAAATACAAGAATATTCTCATTCAATTCCTTTTCCTGAGCTTTGTTAATGCAGTCTCATATAATGTCTCTGTCACACACAAGTTCTTACTTCACTTTGTAATGATCCCCCTTGTATGGGGGGGATTGGGGAAGAGGCAAAAGAAAACAAAGGTGGGATGTTTTTACCTTTTGAAATGCCTGGAAGAATGTAGTGGAGGATGGTAAAGGGCAGCAGCATCCTCCCTGTATGACACCAGGTTGATAGGCTGGAGGACAGGGCTGCTGTTCAGAAGCATCCTGGCAGTCTGGCCAAAATAGCCAACAGCTAAGGCAGGATAACCCCAAATACCAATATAGGCTGGGGCAGCCTTTTGTAAGAGGAGTGTGTTGGACAGCAGAGCAGTCCTGGTGGCCATGGGGGCCACTGCAAACTGGCAGATGTTAAACAAGGCTCATGAGGCTTCATCCAGAGTCCTGTGGGTGCTCAGAATCAACTGGAGAAGTGTTCCATGGCTGTGTAAACTCTGTGCTTCTACACACCAGCGTGGCTATGAGCAATACCTGCTGTGTGGGCACCTGCTGGGGCATGCCCCAAACCACAGGAATCCTCAGTGGTCATTGCTGGAGAGTGACAGAGCAAGTGAGACAGCAAGCTAGGAAAGTTGAGTAGAGAGGGTAAGTTCTAGATGTTCTGGTGTCTGAAGCAGATTTTTATGAGCAGCCTGACTCCTACAGCTCACAGATGCAAGGGGTGATGCAATCAGGAGACTTCTTTTAAAAAGGAAGGGAATATTGCTAACAGGCTGTTGAAATCTGGATTTCAGATCAGGCTGATTTCCCCCAGAGGTCTTGATTTTTCTCCATAAACTACAGATGGTGTGTAGGACAACAGTTTCTAAATGGGGTGTCACATCTATGTTTATAAAGCTAGGCAAGATGAATCTGGGTCAGTTCTGGGCTGAGTTTTGTCAGTAATATTGCAATCAAGATTAAAGCTCCAGAGAGTTTACATTCACTTTACACTCTGTTCTCAATTGCACCCTTTTGGCACAGTCTGACTCACCACTAAACTTTTAAATGTCAGTCCCCAACTTGTTAAATCACATCTCTAGCTCTTAAACAGGGAAACTAATTTGTTTTAAATAATTAAGCTTCAAATTTAGTCTTTTCCTCCTCCAAAAACTGGAATGCAGCAGACGAGAAAGACTAGGTTTGTAACAGTTGATTGTGGCAAGTGCACAGCCTGTCTGTGCTGAAGAGGACATCAGTAGCAGTAGCAAAGGTTATTCATCAAATGTGCAAGATGAGGCCCTGTTTGCATATGAAAATTAGCTAAAGATGTGAGGACAGCTACCTCAGCTATCAGCTACACCAGAGGTTTGAGATCACTGCTTCAGGGGCTGTATCCTCATCTGTCTGGCACACTGATGGAGCTGAAGTGAGGTCCTGTCTTGCTTGGCACTTGCTGCTGCTTTTTACTTTGTTCTGGGGTCAGACTGTCCTGTCTGTCCTGACACAAACTGTCACCTAGTGCCAGCTAGGCGGCACAGGAGGGATGGAAGGTTGTCCTGAGGGGCTCAAGCCCACCGACACGGCTCCTGCTCTGCCAGCAGATCAGGGGAGATTTGGTGCCTCTTCTAAGTGTGTTTGGTCTGTGGCTGAGCTGCCAGCTGTCCTGAACACTGTCTGGGAGATGTTTGGCCCAACAGATCTTGCATCTTCTCATGGCTTTAGAGGAACCATATTTTTGGTGCACTAGAAGCTGTATAATCACTACTTCAAGCTGGAGTTTGGCTACAGGCAGAGCTAAACAAAGTCATACCAGCGCCCCAGGTGTGTCCTGATTGGGCTGTCCTGTTCCTTCCAATCTCCATAACAGAGCTGTCCTTTCCTCCCCCAGTTCTCTTTTAGTGCCAGCATGGTCCAGATCTAAAAGAAATAGAGGAGCATCCCAGGGTGCTTGTTTTTTAGCTGTACCCAGACTTGAGCAGGCATTGGCTGGACTACAAATACTTGTGACCTTCACTGAAGTCTTTCAGAATTATCTAGATTCGTATTTTTTTTACCCCCTGCAGTTCTGGTATGTTGGCAGTGTCTACAGATTCTAGCCTTCATTAGAAAATGCTTAACTACTACTGAACTGTGATGAAATGCTAGAAACTATGACCCAGCTACATATGCTACTGCCAAACTAGATAATGACTGTTCATG